TGGAGGCCCGACGACGGGGTCTGTCAAGAACGGCCCGGACACCGGCGCGCAGCGAGGGTGAGACCCCAGCAGAGTCCCATTCCTTCCCCTGAACTCCCAACAGCCAGACTGGGGACCCCAACTGACTCCTGGGGAAGTCCAAGAAAAAACTTTGGGGATCTATCGAGAAGACTCTTGGCGGGATCGGACACTTCTCCCTCCATTGTCCGCGGAAAACCTTCCCATCCTTTTACCTCCCCAGTCCCTAGGGGCCGCTCAGGCTCTGCCCTTGAGCCGGGTTGCACCTGCGCAGGGGCGGGAGAGGGGTTTCAGCCCTTATCCAAGGAGGGGACGAGAATTCTTGAAGGAATCCAGCATGTTAGTAAGACGGGGTCCAGTGCTGAGTGGAGGTGGGAGTATGGGAGGGTGAGGGGTGAAGGCTGATTTCTGAGTGTTGTTTCTGTGGGGGGCAATTTCATACTATAACCCGGAAAACAGGGTCCCAATCCACTCTGAGATCCCAGATGGCCCCTGTCCTGTTCGCACCCTCCCCCAAGGGCCTCTTGCTGCCTGGGGCAGGGGCATTGGTGTTAGAGTTAGTGGCTACTCTTAGCCCACACTGGCTGTTTTCCACAGGAAACAGGACCAGAGGGACAGAACAGGAAGGAAGCAGATGGGTGTGGAAGCAGGGCGGGGTGGCGCAGGACTTCTGAAGGGGGCTGGGGGGTGCCTTGCAGGGCTGGGAAGCAATATAACTGTTATAGTGTTCCCAACCGCAAAGCTGGGTCTTATAAAGAGGACTGAGATTTGGTGAGGCCCTCCTGTGCCCAGCTGCAGTCAGATTCCATCCCAGATCTCCAAAGCAGCCTCTCCCTAGAATATCCCTTAGTTTTCTAATGTAACCTTAGGTAGGTTAACATCAGTTTGTTTCTTTGTTTCAACTGGAAAATGGGGTAACAGAAACTACCTGATAGGATTGTTATGAGGATGCATAATATTATGTAAAATGCTAATATAGTCCCTTGCACAGAGTAAACGTCATAGAAAAGTTGCTCTGGTTATTTTTCTTCGGAGGGTATTGTACATACCTGCCCAGAGCTCTGGCCTCGTTCTCCCTGGTCTCATCTCTGTCTTACCCACTGGGCCATGAGCTCCTTGAGGGCAGGGCCCATTCCTTTTCTACTTCAGTAGTCACCCCCACCCCTCAAGATACTGTGGTCCTGCTAGGTCTGGCCCAGAGGAGGGCTGAAGAGATGTATTTAGAATTATCCGATGAAACTGGAAATTGCTGCTCTAGGTAGAATCCACAAGCACAATATTTTCTTTTGTCCTCGGGCTTATAGACTAGATGAGGAACTGAGAGGGGCACAGGGCACAAAGAGAAACATTAGGTACTAAATCTCTCAGGGTGCGGAATGTACTCACTTCTGGAGCTCAGGGAAGGGAGAGCTGGTACAGGCTGGGGGGGCTGGGAAGGGGTTCCCGGTGAAGTGGTCCTTTTACCTGCCCTGAGCCTACAGCTGGAAAAGGAGGGCCTGTGTTGGGAGTGCGGAGGAAGCAGGCTCACTGGGGTGTTCAGTGCACTGTCAGGAAGGGTGGGAGTTGAGGCTGGGGAGGCGGGGCTCTCTAGAAAGGCAGAATGCCCTCTCTTTCCGCGATGGGCCTCCTCTTTCCTATGTCTGGGTCTTGGGAGACCCCAGAGTTTGAGCTTCAGAAATTCTGGAGCCAGAAGGCCTGGCTTCCAAGATGTGGCTCTGCCACTTAGTAGCTGTGTGACCTCCGGCATTTATCCTCTCTGACCCTCAGTTTGGCCATCTGCAAAATGGGGTCAAGAAGACCACCCACCTCACTTGGTGATTGGGAGAACTGAAGGAGACAAGGCCTGCAAAGCACTTACCACTGCCTGGCATGTTGTAAGGGCCTGATTAATGGGAAGTGTTCTTGTTTTCTGGGCAGACTTTGTCACCAATGTCAGTGCTGAACTCTGGCTGGCCCCACCGAGGGGAGAGCCTCACCCCTTGGGAGCTAGGTCCGCCAGCCGACTCAGACACTGACCCAGGCCACTTGCCCAAGGAGGATCCTGAGGAAACTTCTGAGCAGGTAGTAGGAGCCCTGCCCTTCCCTCTGGCCCCAACATGCTCTCCATCCTACAGACTGACCTCCTCCCCTTTCCACCACCTGGAAGGATGTTAGCCTTTCTGCCCAACCTCCATTGGCCCTCTTCTCTTTGCAAGAATAATCCTTGTCTCTACAGCCCCCTTGCGTCGGGATATAGGGGTCCGCCACCTTCACATTCTTCACATGAATACATGTGAACTTCTTCACATGAATACACATTATTTCCTCTAGGGGGTCTGTGCTGTCCGGGCAGACTCTAGGCTTTGGCCCTAAGCAGTAAAAGGGGTGACTTAAAGCATAAGAAAGGATACCATTTGGGGGGGGGGGAGCGGGGCCTCCCCAACCTGCCTCCATCAGAGCACAAATGCAGGAGCAGACCACCTGTCCTTGTCTTGATCTTGAAGGAGGGGGTGCTTGGAAGTTGTTCCAGATTGGAGAAGGGGTGGCAGTGAGGAGAGGAGGAAAGAAGAGGAAGGCAAACCCAACCACCCCTCTCCTGCCGCATCTCCTCAGGACCCTGAAATTCTGAGCTTGGGGCTTCCTGGCTTGGACACCAACTGGGCCCCCAGCCAGCCTGGGCTTCGGATCCTCCTGCAGCAGCTGCCTCCACAGGACAGCGACGTGGGTCTCCCTCTCCCCAGCATCCCTCTTTCTCACCTCCCTCTCTTTATTTACTGTGGGGCCAGAAGCCAGAGGACACGGATCTAGGGCCTAGCTACGCTAGTAATTGAAGAAGCCATCCCGCTCCGGCCCCAGCCCGAGTTTCCAAGTCCACACGGGGCAGGGGAGGGGCGGGGGGAGGAGATAGCATCCCCTCTGCTTACAATGCTTAGTTGAGGAGCAAATGAGAAAATGGACATGAACGACTTTTGAAACCGATAATGGAATGTACAAATGTAGAAAGTATGGTTAAGTATTTATTAAGGCCCTGTGTGCGCCCAGACTAAAGGCTTACAGTTCACTTGGGGAGGCAAGACAGGAGAAATGTGGAATACATTGGAAAAACACAACAGAAAGCGATAGTAAGCTACAGCTCACTGGGGGGCAAGGATCTAAATATGTGGTGACAGGGCTCAGTGCTGTGGGCTGTCAGGACCTGAGTGGTGGCCATTCCTGGGGGAAAGTGAGACTGATGTAGACTTATTTCCAACTCTCTTCCCTCTTTCCCTCTCCTTCTCAATGCCCTTCTGTGCTGTTATCTTCTGCACTTCCTGGAGGTTCTACAACCTTCCTCTGACCCAGCGGCTAAGCCTTCTCTCTCCAATCGAACTTCAGTCTTGCCTGCTGGGGGCTCTCCCACTCACAGTGGAGGCCTGTTTTTGCAGGAGCGCTACTGCCTGGCCCTTGGGGAGGATGAGCTGGCAGAGCTGCGGCTCTTCTGTGCTCAGAGGAGGCGGGAGGCCCTGGGACAGGGGGTGGCCCTCCTGGTACCTCCCGAGCTGCCAGAACACACCTGCGAGAAGGTACGTAGTGCTCCCCCCCCCCCCCCATTCCCCTTTGCCCTCTCACTTCTGCAGAAGGGGCTAGCTCTAGGGACTCGGGTGGGAAAAGGGGGGATGGACAGCTTGGAAAACTTGAGGAAAAAAAGAAGCCAAGTTTAGGGGTTCTCCAGTGGCGCCTGCAGTGGAGGTGGGCTTTCCAGGGGTGGGGGGAGAACAGTTCGGTGGGAGGTGGGATGGAAGCGCCAGGAGGGAAGCTAGGAGCATGATGCGGCCTCTGGGCAGCTGAGCATCCGCGCCCGGCAGTGCAGGGAGCGGCTGAGGCCAGGGGAGTACGGAGTGTTCGCAGCCCGGGCAGGGGAGCGGCGCTACTGGCACCGGGCTTGCTTTGCCTGCCAGGCCTGCGGCCAGGCCCTGATAAACCTCATCTACTTCTACCACGACGGGAGTCTTTACTGCGGCCGCCATCACGCAGAGCTGCTGCGGCCGCGCTGCCCGGCTTGTGACCAGGTACAGCCCCCGAAGGCGGGGGGGGGGGGGGGG